AAAAAAATACGCAATTTTTCCAGTTTTGTTTTTTATTTTCACTGTTAGTTTCTCTTTTATTGGAAAAAAAAATGTGCAGAAGAAACTCTTAAGGAAGTAAAAAAAATTCTCTTTATAAAGAAATTTGAAATCTAAATTTAAAACATATTTAGAGGGTGATGTGATCTATTGGAAACTAGTTGTATTTTCTTTTTAAATTAATCCCTCAGTTGAATGTCTCTAAGCCTCTCACTCCACTTCTCAGGAGACTTTGTATATCTATTTTTTGTGTGTGTGTGAGTGTAATGAATTTATGAATGAGTGCAATGAGAATTTGTGGGCTTTTACTGTATTTACACGTGACACTTAATGTTTTTTTAGAAATGATTATATTGTTCTAACTTTGCAATATAAATGTTTTTTCCCACCTTCATCTCAATTTTGCTATTTAGGAGCTACCACCATACTATGAAAATCATGGTTATCAGCCAGAAAACGTCTATATTTCCAGACAGCCTGGGGATGCGAATGTGTATCCACAGTACCCTCCTCCATATTATCCTCCGTCAGTGCCACATTATGTCCCAAGAGTTCCTGTTCATCAGTCAGCTCCCCCAGTAGTACAGCCAAAGCCTCCATCAGCGAAAATGTGCACACCAGGTAAGATTTGTCTGGTTTTCTTTTTATGTAGATTGATTGCAATCTGGCATGTGTTTAACCGATGAAACTTGTTTCCTTTTAAGCTCTTATGTTGAGGGACTATCCCAGGAGTACCTTTTTGTCCCTGAGAGTGCTAGGTAACCAAACAAGTCAATTACACTATTATACTTTTTTGTAAAAGGTGTGAGGAGTTGGGTGGTTCTTTGAAGTGATGATGAGATGGGGAGACTCTGTAACATCTGAATTGCAGATTCGCGCCTGCTTAGTAATGATTGAAAACTGTCCATCTAAGGGCATGTCTTCACTAGTAATGTTAAAACGCTGGCTTTAACACCATGGCATAGCACTGGGAGAGAGCTCTCCCAGTGCTATAAAACCCCCACCTCCACGAGGGGAATAGCTCCCAGCGCTGGGAGCGCGGTTCCCAGTGCTGGGGCACTGTCTACACTGGCGCTTTACAGCACTGAAACTTGCAGTGCTCAGGGGGGTGTTTTTTCACACCCCTGAGCGAGAAAGTTGCAGCGCTGTAAAGTGCCAGTGTAGACAAGCCCTAGGTTTACTTGCAGGGAGATAGGGATGGAGGCTAGCCTAGTAAAATAATTTGTTTGCAAACCTAACTCTTCTTTTTCTCCCTTTTTAATTACAGAAGTTAAGAAAGCTCTATGCATCATTTTATCTGTTGCAATAATACTATCGGGTGCCATAATTGCAGCTATCCTTATCTGGTATTTTGGTAAGAATGCATTGTTTGTGTTGATAGAAATCTTTTATTCAAAGCTAAAATGTCTTGAGATTTTTCCATTTCCCAACATAAGTGTGTCATCTTCCAGAAGGGTAAGTTAGAACAGGAAATTCTTATCTATCTCTTTTATGAATGCAACTTATTTTAATATCTAAAAGCTTAATTATTTGTCATAACCAGTGTCACTGTTGCTGTTGTCCTTTCCTTTAACTTCAAATATATTTACATTTGATAAGTGTCCTTGACTCAGCAGCACCCTCTTATTCATCTGAATTCTCTGAGATCCCACAAACTGTTTAGCAACAGTTGGTCTAGGACAAGCTTTTGTACAACTATTTTAGTAATGTGATATCAAAGTATAACTGTGCCTCAGTGGGTCACAACTTAGGATGCCAAATTCAGGACGAACTGCTGAGAAATAGGGCAGATATACCCCAAGACTGGTGGCTAATCCCCCGTAGGATTTACCAATCCAACAACAAAAGTAAACTTCTGTTTCACCACACCGGCTCACAGGAAGCCATAAAAGCAGTTTCCTTGGGCTTTCCAGTTCTTATGTCACCACCAAAAACGCTGGATTTAAAAGAGAGTGGTTCTTTACAACCAGTCTCATCAAATAAAGGGTTCTTCTGATCCCAAAGGACCAGCCACATACCCAGGTCAATATACAACTTAGATCTTACCCAAAAATCATGCTGATGCCAGTCCTTTAGTATTTAAAATCTAAAGGTTTATTCATAGAAAGAAAGAAAGGTGAGAGTTAAAATTGGTTAGAGGGATCAAATACATACAGTAATTGCAAAGTTCTTACTTCAGGCTTGTAGCAGTGATGGAATAAACTTCTGTCTTGATAAGTCTTTGGTTGCTTCCAAATCATTAGAAAGTCCTCAGTCCCTTGGTTAGAATGCTCCCATCAGTATAAATTCATAGTCCAGAGACTTGAGCAAGAAAGAGGCTGGAGCAGGATAGAAGCAAAATGGGCCTTTTATAGCTTCTCCCATGTGGAGGGAATCCCATTGTTCTTACTGTGGAAAATTAGAGCAACAAGATGGAGTTTGGAGTCACACGGGCAAGTCCCATGTCCATGCATTTTGCCTAGTCGCATCAGGAAATTCCATTAAGTGTAGATAGGCATCTCCCATGGTCCATTGTCAGTGGAACGTTCTTCTGATGGGCCACTCAATTTGAATAGTCCCTCCAAGACGTGCTGGCTAGCTACCTTGTGGGCATTACCCCAGGAGCAAACATTTCAAATCCAGGTATAGAGCCAATACTCATAACTTTAAATACAAAAATGATACATGTATACAAATAGCAGAATTATAGTCAGTGAGTCATAACCTTTCCACAGACACCTCACATGACAACTTTATACAAGATTTGTTGCAAATATATAACAGTGGTTACAACAATGATCTATATGGTCATATTTTAATCAGATAATGTCACACTAGGATTAAGAGTGCAGTTTGCCCCAGAGCAAAGGGCTTTTATAAGGTCTAAGTGACACTGGGCATAGAAGTTTTAAGTTACACAGTTTCCTCCTAACTGCAACCCTGAAGGGAAAGGGAAGAAAGGAAGGATTGGGTATGTGTAGACATATTAGGCCTGACTAATTTTTCACAAGTGCTTCGTAGAACTGATCGGAGCACTTCATTGCCATGAAATATGCTGTTTTGTCAAAGCTAAAATGTTTTGTGGAGATGTATTGGTTTTCACTAAACTTTTGAAGGGAAGGTTTTTGGGTCTGGGGCAGAGGCAGATAGTTGGAGGTGCAGACACACCCAACACCACTTCCTATGTCAAAAGTGAACGCATTTCTGTAAAATTTCGGCAAATTGAATAGACCAGGGGTGGCCAACCTGTGGCTCTTCAGAAGTTAATATGTGGCTCCTTGTGTAGGCACCAACTCTGTGGCTGGATCTACAGGCGCCAACTTTCCAATGTACCGGGGGTGCTCACTGCTCAATCCCTGGCTCGGCCAGAGGCTCTGGTCCCACTCCATCCCTTCCCGCCACCTCCCCTGAGCCTGCCGTGCCCTCGCTCCTCTCTCCCACTCCCCCACCCCGAGCCTCCTGCACTCCACGAAACAGCTGATTGGGAGGTGCAGGGAGGGAGGGGGGAGGCGCTGATCGGCAGGGCTGCCGATGGATGGGAGGCGCTGGGAGCTGGGTGGGGGAGCTGATGGGGGGCTGCTGACGTATTACTGTGGCTCTTTGGCAATGTACATTAGTAAATTCTGGCTCCTTCTCAGGCTCAGGTTGGCCACCTCTGGAATAGATCTCCTCTAGTCCACTCTGGTGCTAAACACCAGCAGCTCCCACTTGCTTCAAGTGGAGTCGGGAGAACTCATCAGCTCTTTAAAAAATATAAAATAAAATCAGACCCTCTATTTCATCTTCTAATATTAGAGCTGGTTCAAATAGTTTAATTGAAGCATTTTTTTCAATGAAGAAACTGATTTCCACTAAAACACAAATGTTCATTTTGGTAGAAGTTTTCTGGTGGGAAGAACTGGAAAAACCTGCAGTTTTCTGGGGCTTTTTGCCCTCTCTTCTTTTTCCTCCCCACACCTTTTTTGTGTGTGTGAGTGAGTGAGTGATGGTGATAGTGGAAGGAACAAGTGTGAAGAAGAGTGAGGGGGAGAATTAAAAAAAGAGAATATTTCAACTCTCAAACTGGAAGACCAAAGAATTCTGGGGTTGGGTGTAGGAGAGGGAAAAAACGTGACACCGCACGCCCCCTCCCCAAGTTTGAAGTTTTTAATTTTAGAGGAAAATATAGCACTTTTTGACCGGTTTTAATGAACATATACCAAAAAATTGCAGAATGACACATTCAGGACCGAGTGGATTTTGCTTAATATTGAATTCACTTCCTCCCCACAAGAAAGAACTTTCTCATTTTTATAGTGATGATTTGAAATGGAACAAGCTGACTTAATTGACGTCCTAACAGAAATCTGGCTCCCAAGCAGGCTGTTTGAAGCCTGTGTTTAAATTTAGTCAAACACCTGTTGTGGGCTCAAAGCAGGGGCACCTGAGTAAAACTTAATGGATTGTGTTATTCAGGAGGTCAGTCTAGACGGTCTAATAATTTAATTGTGCCACTTCCCGCAGCTCCCATTGGCTGGGAACGGCAAACCGCGGACACTGGGAGCTGAGGGGCTCTGTGCCAGCAGACGTTCCAAATAAACAAAACGTCCCAATCCGCCAGCGGCTTACCCTGATGGGCTGGGAGCCAAAGTTTGCCAGCCTCTGAAATACAGGGTCGGCTTATGAAATGATCATACAATTTTTGCTATTTTTACCTAACCATCCTGGGGGTCGGCTTATAAATGAACGGGTTAATGAACGAGTATATACGGTACATTCTTCCATTTTACCATCCCTCTTGCCCATATTTCTTTTGTATGTGCTCTCCCCAAATTGTACGAACAATCAAAAGCTCTTTCAACATATGCCTTGATTAAATTCATATTCTCCTAGAAAACTCAGCAGAAATCATAAAAATTGAGGCTCACTCTTAACTTAAGGATCCATTTTAATAACCACACACCTATCTCCTTTCCACTCTGATCCCCTTGCAGTGGCCAATAGCTGTCTTGGCTCATCAATAGAGTGTGGATCTTCAGGAACATGTGTCTCACCATCTCAGTGGTGCGATGGAGTGGCCCACTGTTCCAATGGTGAAGATGAAAACCGATGTGGTAAGTATTTCAAGTATGCAGAGGTAAAATTGTTCTTGGAAGCCTCTTGGTGACATCTCCTTTCTTAGCCCTTGTCTACAAAGTGGCACTAGCTGAGTTTAAGGTGTGACTTTAACCAATTTAGTTAAACTAGTGCAAACCCCTGTATGGACAATCTTTTTTGGTCTTAGAATGGCTTAATATCAGTTACCTTAAGTCCATTGCTAATCGAGTTGCTGGACTAAAATAACCCATACTTAAACCAAATCAAAACGTCCCGCACTGGATTTTGTGCCAGATCAGTTTAAATCACACCTTAAATTAAACTCGTGCAACTTTTTAATATAGACAAGGCCCTAGAAATGTCTGCATTACCTATTGTGTAGCTGCTTTCTTACAACAATCTCAGGGGTGGTAGTGGTGGTGGTACTATCTGCTTGAGTTCAATGACATGGCTTGGCTCATTCTTATTAAACTTCCTTTTCCACCAGCTCCCCTCACTTTTCAACCTCTCCCTAGCACGTCTCCCCGGTGAAAAAATCCACCTGTCTCATATTAGTGTGTGCCAGTCTAACAAAAGCAAAACAAAGCTGGAAGCTTACTACCGCCACCAAAAAGCTTCACCTTCCAAAGAATGCTTTACATAACTTTCAGTGTAGGAGGCTGTCTAACTCAGTGGTTCTCAAACTAGGGCTGCCGCTTATTCAGGGAAAGCCCCTGGCGGGCGAGGCTGGTTTGTTTACCTACTGTGTTCGCAGGTTCGGCCAATCGCGGTTCACTGCTTCAGGCCAATGGGGGCTGCGGGAAGCGGTGCAGGCTGAGGGATGTGCTGGCTGCCCTTCCCGCAGCCCCCATTGGCCTGGAGCGGCGAACCGCGGCCAGCGGGAGCAGCGATCTGCTAAACCTGCGGACACGGCAGGTAAACAAACTGGCCTGGCCCTCCAGGGGCTTTACCTGAACAAGTGGTGGACCAGCTTTGAGAACCACTGGTCTAACTGATTTAGTGACTTCAGCTGAAGAGATGGAGAGAGGGAGACTTTCGTGATGAACTGGTTGTAGTCACCAGAGAATATTTGGTTGTAAATATCATTAATGTGTACACTCAAAAGCCACATCCATCTTGTTTTTAATATCTGTGTTCTGTAATACATGACTTCCAGAAAATGGTCTTGAAGAGGGCAGACTGTTCCATTTGATCCTATCATTAAAGCTGGGCAAGAAACAGTTTTCCTGTCCCATGAAAATTTTTGAGATTCCAAAGAGACACCTTTGAAACAGACACCTTTCAAACTCTTGAGAGAAACAACTAGCTATCCAGCCCAGAATAGTCCACCTGGGAGGTAGGAGACCTGGGTTCAAGTCCCTGCTCCAATTTAGGCAGAACAGGGATTTAAACTAGAGTGCCTCGCATCCCAGTTAAGTACCCCAACTACTTAGGGTAGTGGTTATCCTCAGTCTCTTCCTGACCAGAGATTCCATCCTGGACTATTGAAACTGAACCTTTACTGGAAAAGTTTCAGTTTTAACTAATCAGAATTTTCTGACCCCAAAAAAGTTTTTTGTCAATTAAAAAAAACCCACACAATAATAATAATAATTAATAAAAAAAAACCACACCAAAAAACAAACCCCCCAACTAGCACATTCCCTATATGTGCTTTTGGAACTCTGCTCTTCTGACATAGTCTGCATAGTACTGACACTTAGCTGATGATTTTTCCTGTTTGGTTGTATAATTGGGTCTCTTTACAGTAATATAGCTTATTCCTGCCATTATCTTGTTCTTGAACTTTTCATATTGAACTCTTTTCTGTCTTCCCTCTGTGACACGCTATCTCTTCAAATCAGATACATAATAGGGTTTGACGGTATAGGGCAAGCTGTTCCATGTTAAAATCTTTGCTTTGTGATCTTCTATACTAGTACAGGATATAATTTTCTTACCCTTTGATCAGCTTATCTGTTATTGCCAATCACTCAGGCTGAGGGTGGAGCATGGGAAAGAGTTGTGCTAATTTTAAAATGTTCATACAGTAAAAAATGAACATTAAAATGTAAATACAACTTAAGGTAATAACTCATTTGAACGGCTTTAGAAAAAGGAATTAAAATATATGTAAAAATCCAGTATATGAAAACTTCATAAAAAGTGTGTCAAAATATAGCATCAACTGGAAGTTTTTCTTTAAAAGCAAAAAGTAATTTCAGGTGCTACACCTGTCTGTGGAGCCCGTGACAACTTTTGTGGTTTCACAATCACATTTTTTATTTATAGCTTTAAGAAAACGAATATACAGGAAAAAACCTGAAACTAGCTATCCACAAAGTGCTGTCAAATGAAGAAGTAAACTGAAACAATATCCTTCTACCTTTTCTTTAATCTTGCAGCTCTAGTACTCTTAGAGCTTGCTTGTAAGAGTAGTAGGTGCAAAATACTTTTTAGGAATATGAAAATCGTAGGCTTCGAACAGGATGGTCAGCAATGTTGTCTTCTTTGATTGCAGTTAGACTCTATGGACCAAATTTTATCCTAGAGGTCTATTCATCTATCAGCAAATCCTGGTATCCAGTATGCAAAGATGACTGGAATGAGAACTATGGAAAGATAGCTTGTAAAGACATGGGATACAATGTGTAAGTATAACAATCTAATTGTGAAAGCTGTACAGCCAGTACAACTGTTTCATTGGAGGGATAGCTCAGTGGTTTGAGCATTGGCCTGCTAAACCCAGGGTTGTGAGTTCAATCCTTGAGGGGACCACTTAAGGATCTGGGACAAAAATCTGTCTGGGGATTGGTCCTGCTTTGAGCAGGGGGTTGGACTAGATGGTCTCCTGACTTCCAACCCAGATATTCTATGATTACATTTTCCAAAGAATGGACACCTGCAGCAAAAACTCAGTTACTGCTTTTTCTGTTGCTAGTCTAATTTTGATGAATAGAAAACAGTCCCAGTTAAAATAAAAATCAGTAGGTGTTGCTGAATCAAAGTGACATTTCTTCAAAACCATGTAATGCATATGCCATATATAATAGTTGTGGGATGGGTTTGTGCATCAATACATGCACAGTGCTTAGGATCCTCTTGGACTGAGAGTAAAACCTTATAAAAAAAACCTATTCGTTGTGACCAATATTACATAGACAACCCTGACCTCTGGAGGACATTAAAGGTTTTATTGTGCTCTTTCACAAGAGCGTTGACATTTAACCAGTTTCTGGACAAATTCCAACCACAGTAACTTATTTTTATCTACCTGAAATCCTCTGCAGCTATAATTACCTATGTTGTTGCTGTTGGGAGTGAGGGGTGGGGGGAGGGAAAGACTCACAAATGTAGATGGGCTGGTGGTGCTACATTTCTATTCATGAGGTGGTTGGAGTGATGGATTAGTCTGGTCAGAACGTGGCGATCTTCACCATGAAAAAGTGTTAGATGAAAGCTAAGTCTTATTTGATTGTAAAAGTGGACATAGCAAATAGTTACTTAGAAACTAAAATTTAATTCTGCCATGGTACAGCACCTTTGTGGTTCTTATGATATAGTATTCCATAATATTATTGTTCATGTTATATGCTTTAGATTGGTGGAAAGTTTTACGTTACTAAAAGGAACTTTCTGATAGGATTTGAAATATCTGAGTTTCTTACTAAATATTTTATTTTATACAGAAATACTTATTACTCTAGTCAAGGAATAACGCCTGAAAGAGGTTTTACAAGCTTTATGAGGTTGAATACAAGTGCTGGGAACATAGACCTATACAAAAAACTGTATAACAGGTATTTATATTTCATATAAGCATTTTTTATATTTGTTACTTTTAACTGTTGGAAGCAAGGTGGCTTCCACCATCACCATGATGCAAACACCGCTGATGGGAATTATTAGAGCTGGATAAATTTTTTTGTATAAAGTCTTTATCAGCAAAATATGCAGATTTGGTGACAGTGAAATATTTAATCAATTCATGTAGATTTTTGTCAAATTGTTTTGGGTGGAGGGAAAAAACAAAGCAAAAAAGTGCCAATAAAATCAAAACATTTGTATGGGTGTTTTATTTTGTTTTTGTTTTGAAATCACTTTGTTTCAAAATTTCCTTTAAAAAAAATAATAATAAAATGGTCAAAATTTAAGTGCAACAGTTTGTTTCAGGTCAAACAAAATATTTAATTTAACCCCAGACAAATTTTTGACATTTTTTTTCAGACTTGCCAGTGAACCAAAAAATCCATTATCCACCCTGCTCCATTTCATTTTTTTTAAATGGGGGGAAGAGAAGTTCCTGTGGCTGATCACAATAACTGCTTTTCATTAAATTAAATCCATAACTTTTGAATAATTCCTGGCACTGTCTCTTTAAAGGTTATTTTTCAGTGCCCACTTAATAAAGCTTGATTTCTTGAGGACACCTGATTTTTCTCTCTCGCATTCAATCCTACACCATCCAAAAGACTGTTTCGGAGAAAACTTATGATGTGAGTTACTATATGAAAATTTGCGTTCATAGTGGTAACAACCATAAAATATTAAAAGACCCACAGCATTATTTTGGTATCACTTTTTTAGAGTTGTATTAATATGCATGTACCAGAGTTAAAAGGACACCTTCTAGAGTGGCAGACCCCAAGTTAAACTACACCTCTACCTCATTATAACACTGGCCTCGGGAGCCAAAAAAATCTTACCGCGTTATAGGTGAAACCGCATTATATCGAACTTGCTTTGATCCACCGGAGTGCGCAGCCCTGCCCCCCTGGAGCACTGCTTTACCGCATTATATCCGAATTCGTGTTATATCGGGTCGCATTATATCGAGGTAGCGGTGTACTTTACGAAACATACATATGTTCTCATTTCAGTTCCCTGGTATGTGGGCAGCTGCACTTACAAAATTCACCAATTCCCTCCCCTTTTAATTTTTTAAAATATTGCTGTATGAAGGATTGAGGGCCACTCCACCCCATGAGTAATAGGGACTGGTGTGATCACACCTCTCTTCCACTGCCCTTCACCTCAATCTCTTCATTGTACTGATATATCTCACAGTTCTATGTTTCTGCCGGTTACAATCAGAGCTGCATGCTTCCTACTAATGGAGGAAACAGAAGTGAAGGTTGTGTGAGCACCGGCAGGACAGTCAGAGAGAGTGAGTGGGGGAAGGAGACAAGTGTGGCTGGATGGAGGACACAATGTATTGCTGTGGCTGGAGAATTCTCTGACTGCCATTTGCTAAGCAGAGTCTTTATATGCACTAACTATATGCACTATAAAGACTAACTGTATGCTGATTTATTTTAGTGACTCGTGTGTGTCTGGAGCAGTGGTATCTCTGCGTTGCACAAGTAAGTGTTTTCTGTTTCTTTAGAAGAATATAACTTTTTCATTTGTCTTGTTTCCAGTGACTGTCTAGAAAGCAGCTGTGCAAGGGTTCTGCATGTTGAAGCACATCTTATTCTGATGGGATAGGCATCTTAGTTGTAGTTTAAATGCGGAATCTGGAGCGGGGGGGAGGGCTAGCAGATTGGGGGAGAGTTAGGGGAGACGAGCAGGATATTGGATCCCAAATTTTCTTTGTCTAACTGTATTGTTGCTGGCTTTATCAGAACCTTTGAATAATCTGCCCAAGATTAAATTTATATAGAAATTGCCATATAAAAATCAGACCAGTAGGGCCATTTAATCCAGAATCCTGTTTGATAGTAGCCAGTATCAAATGTTTTAGAGGCAAGTCCAAAAAACCCTGTAATGAGCAATTGAGGAATAACCTGCCCATAGTGTAATTTTTTTTCATGAATCCCTGACAGTTAGTGAAACATTTATCCCTTCTAGCTTCTTTTATTCCTATCCTATCTGTGGATGTTCTCATTATCCCTAGTAATATTTATTCTCTGTGGCTCAGAGGGGAGAAAAGTGCTCTTATGGTAAGGTACCTTGTTCTATATAAATAAGGGACATTTGATTATATAGTTTTGCAAGGACAGTCTCCCATCCTGGCAAACATCTAGGGACAGATTCTTGTGTCTGTAGTAATGATACTTCATACCTGTTATGTCTTTTATATATTGTATGATAATCCATATTGTATGATGGGGTTGTCTGCAATAGAGGAGGCTGAACATAACCCAGGAGATCCTTTCCAGTCCTATGTTCTTATATTTATCCCTACAATTATACATAGAATCCAGAATGATTGGAATACGATGATGTCTGGCCTTTTAGCCTATATTTATTAGTGTGGGAGATCCTTTTTTCTCCCTTGTGCAGGCTCTAGTACAGGAACACTAGTGTGTGTGACAGCGTGGTACAAATTCATCTAGTTATGCAGTTGTTCTAAGCCCACCCCAATCGTCATCCTTCGGTCAGTCATTTACAAGTAATCCTGCATCACCTCCTCCACATACCGGCTCCAAGTTTGATGGAAAGAAAGGTGGAATGAAAAATTAAGCTAGTCCCATGTCATTTTGTTAGAGAAGTAACCTGGTGACTCCTCTTCATTAGTGAGATTTTTAAGGATGCAACTTGGAGACCAAGTACCTTGGGGGGTGGAGGAGGAGGGGAAATCTCTGAATTGTTATGTATTCTAGTGGTAAGCGGACAGCAACAGCTCATATAGACTTACCCTCTTTCCCCAGAGTTTGTTTTGAAATGTAAGCAATCCTACATACTGGGGGTATCCCTTACTTAGGTTTGTTTGTCTTCCATCTGAAATGCTGATAGTTAAAAGGACCCACCTTTTCATTTCCCATCCAGAGATCAGCAACTACTTGCAATAGTTCACACTGCAAGAGCAGTGTAAGTGAGAATTGGGCCTTTAGTATGGAATTTTGAACCCGTGAATTTGTTAGACTGCTGATCCTGACTAATTTAGACACCCTGGCAGACAATTAAAAAAGCTACCAAATAAGACACCAAGAGTAGAGCAGCTCTATGGGGGGAGGGATAGCTCAGTGGTTTGAGCATTGGCCTGCTAAACCTGGGGTTGTGAGTTCAATCCTTGAGGGGGCCACTTAGGGAAGCGGGGGCAAAAATCAGTACTTGGTCCTGCTAGGGAAGGCAGGGGGCTGGACTCAATGACCTTTCAGGGTTCCTTCCAGCTCTATGAGATAGGTATATCCTCTAGTGGGTGGACCACCTAAGGAAGTTTACAGGTCTGCTACTGCCTCTGACCCTCTAATTCAGGCAGTAGAGGCTTATGCTTTCAGAGCCAAAGGACCTGGATTCAGTCTCTTCAAAGACCCATCCAGAGGGTCATGACCTATTTTTGTTGATAAACTGCATTTAAAAGCTTCAGCCTCCAGAGTTCCAGTTTTCCACCTTGTTAACTGGTGGTGGTTTTTTAAATGGGAAAATCCCAACATAATTTTGAATTATCGTTATCTTGAGACTTGTAGCCAATAATAGTTGAAAACAATCTCTCTCTCACACACCCCATCTTTGTGTTTGGTTTTTTTCAGAGTGTGGAGTATCCCGTAAAAATTCGAATCCTGCCAGCAGAATTGTGGGTGGCAGCGCTGCAGTGCTGAGGGACTGGCCGTGGCAGGTCAGCCTTCAAGTCCAAGGCTCCCATGTATGTGGAGGCTCCATTATCACCCCAGAATGGATAGTGACAGCTGCTCACTGTGTAGAAGGGTAAGTGCTAAGATACTGCATTCTGTCAATTGATTCCCCAAAGAGAGGGAATTCTGGTACTGCACAACATATACGGTTGAGTGTAGATTTTTGGGATGGTGGACATACTGACTTCAGGTTGTAGGGGAAGTCAAATCTAAGAGAACTCCTCCTGGGTTTCAAACTGAATTGATCAATTTTTTCCCTCTTTTACATACAATCCGTGCAAGATGTGCATGTGCATGTGGAGGGTGGAGAGAGACGATCTGGTTGTATGTTCTGTGGTATTCTAACTTCTTACCATTTAAACCTTATTAAAGGAAAATCATTTTGTAAGAGGGTAGTTGGGAATTTGCTGTTTGCTTTCAATAGGAAGCATCTGTTTCCATTCATGTCATGGGTGGGGCCTGTCCCCCCCGCTCCACCCTCCCTTTTTTAAAAAATTGGACCTCCCTATATGTCATAGGGATGCAGATACACTTGAAGATACAGAGGACTTTGGGTAATTATGCTGATTATTTAGGGAACAAAAACCTACACCAGAAAGCACAAAGCTAATTCCAGTTAAAACCATACAAAAGACTGGTTAAATCTGTTTTTCAATATACTTAATTAAAAAAAAAATCTGTCTCAGAGGTGGGCAAACTAAGGCCCGTAGGCCACATCCAGCCTGTGGGATCGTCCTGCCCGGCTCTTGAGCTCCTGGCCAGGAATGCTAGCCCCCGACCCTCCCCCTCAGCCTCAGTTCGCCGTGCTGCCAGCGCTCTGGGTGGTGAGGCTGCGAGGTCCTGACGGGCAGCATGGCTGCGAGAGCCGCCGGATGTAGTGTATTAAATTGCTCCCTGGAGGAATGTGTTACTTATGGAGCATCAGGACTGGCAGCCATGCTGCCACAGTAAGTAGAACATTCCTATGGGGAGCAATTTAATACACTACACCTGGGTAGGGAAGGCTGTGCCTCTCCAAACAGCCTAGCCCCCACCCCCTATCCGTCCCCTCCCACTTCCCATCCCCGACTGCCCCCCTCAGAACCTATGACCCATCCAACCCCCCCCCCCTGTCCCCTGACTGCCCCCCCCCGGGACCCTACCCCCTATCCAACCATCCTCTGCTCCCTGTCCCCTGACTGCCCCCCCCCGGGACCCTACCCCCTATCCAACCATCCTCTG